TCTCGGCCTCCCAAAGTGCTGGGATTACAGGCTTGAGCCACCGCGCCCGGCCACTATCCTTATTTTCTAAGCAATTATAAACTAGCACATGCTAATATTAAATCTTATGATGATACAATGTTTATATTTCCTGACTTCTCTATAAAATTAACAGTTTATCATCGGAAAAAGTCATTTATACTTCCACGTGTGTTTTATAAGCTAATACAGTAGCAGACTTAGCCAATAACTATTGATTATGTCAATTCCCCAGTAAAAAATATGATAAAGTAATAAACAAAATAATGAAACAAAATCTCTGAAATATCTCTCCTACATGTACACACATACATGTATATACACACATATATATGTATATGCACACATATACGTGTGTGTATATGTGTATATGTATGTGTGTGTGTCTATATATACCTTTTAATCCACATCAATATGCAAGAGGTAGGCTCTCTGCTTAGTTCAGATAACATTAAATTACTAATAGCATGATTATTATCTGATTATGAGTGTTACTGTCAATTATCTTAAAATCAGTCTTAAAACAATTCATATAAACTGTTTCTCAATGTTCAAAATTGTTTATTGATTTATTTGACTTTCAGGGTGCTTATTGGTTCTCCTTTAGTTGGCCAACCCAAAAACAGAACTGGAGATGTCTATAAGTGTCCAGTTGGGAGAGGTGAATCATTACCTTGTGTAAAGTTGGATCTACCAGGTATGTAAAATAAAAAAATCTGGTTTTAGGCCAGGTGCAGTGGGTCATGCCTGTAATCCCAACACTTTAAGAGGTCAAGACAGGCATATCATTTGAGCCCAGGAGTTTGAGACCAGCCCGGGCAACCTGACGAAACCTCATCTCTACAAAATACACAAAAAAACAGCTGGGTGGGGTGGTGCACTACTGTAGTGCCAGCTACTCAAGAGGATGAGATGTGAGGACCGCTTGAGCCCAGGAGTTTGAGACTGCAGTGAATGGTAATTGTGCCACTGCACTCCAGCCTGGGTGACAGAGTGAGACTCTGTCTCAAAAAAAAAAAAAAAAAAAAATCTGCTCTTAAATTATACCCAGTATTCTCACTGAAAACCGATTTTGGGCCGGATGCAGTGGCTCACACCTGTAATCCCAGCACTTTGGGAGGCCGTGGCAGACGGATCACCTGAGGTCAGGAGTTCGAGACCAGCCTGACCAACATGGAGAAACCACGTCTCTACTAAAAATACAAAATTATCTGGGCATGGTGGCACATGCCTATAATCCCAGCCACTCAGGAGGCTGAGGCAGGAGAACCGCTTGAACCTGGGAGGCAGAGGTTGCGGTGAGACAACGTTGCACCATTGCACTCCAGCCTGAGGAACAAGAGCAAAACTCCACCTCAAAAAAAAAAGAAAGAAAGAAAAGAAAACAGATTTAAATCAATTCAAGAAAATATTAGAAGTAATCTATAAGCATTTTTCATATAATCATTTATAATGTATAATCATTTTTCTATAATCATTTATCTTGCAGATTCACAGAGAATGCCATTTCGATTCCCTCTGTCCTTAATTTGCTTTAGAAAGTCATCAAGGAGCATACATAAATTAGAATATCTTACTAATTTTATAACTTTTAACTCCCTGCATTTTTCAGGATTCTTTCTAATTCACTGGTAATGTGAAAGAACTTCTCCAAATAAACCTGCCCACCACATTCCCTCCACAAAATTTAACTTAGTGCCTGGTTTCCAAGAGGAAATAGAATCAAAGGAATTGTAATAGATAAATTTAATTTTAAAAATGGAATTGCACAAGATAAATTTATATTGAAATAGATGTATTTGACAGAAATAGTTGGAACATGACTGGAAAATTCCTACTAAAATTATCTAGAAATTAGAACCCTGTCAGTGTTATATACAATATTACATACTATGGAAATGATTTATAGTCCCACAAGTTTATTTCAGATATTGTATTTTTTGGTTCTCTTTTTTCAATTTTCTATTTGTTTGTTATTATGAACTTTTTTTTCTTTACATGCATAAGCATACTTATAACAGCTGCTTTAATATCCTTGCCTGATAATTCCAACATCTGGAATATCTCAACATCGCGTTCCATTTATTACCTTTCCTTGAGGCTGCGTCACATTTTCCTGTCTTGTCTTGTGGGTAGTAATTTTGGATCATAACCTGTATTATGTTTTTTAATTACAGGTTTGGAGATTCTAGATTCTGTTATATGCCTGTGAATAGTCTTAACTTTTCTTATTAGCAGGAAATTTACTTGGCTTAACTCAATTTCCAAGCATTGACTTTCTTGCAATGACAAGTAGTTAAAATCTCTATTCAGGTTTTATTTCAGCTGGGCTATTTGAAATATACTCTATATGTTTACTATGCAAGTCATCTAGTTATTTGGATAAAATATGTATGTATATTATAGAACTGCTGTTTTTGTGGCTGTTTTTAGAAGATATACTACTCTCCTCCTCACTTTGCAGTTGCTGCCATTGCCCCTAATCTCTGTTCTCTTTTTATTCAATACAGTAAGACTAGGAGTTCTATTTGAGTTTTAGCCACTGACTAGGACCTTCCCTAGGTGGGGGGGTGGGTTAGGGGTGAGGGACAAAAGCAAAACAAAACACAGAAACAGGAAACTCATTTAGTGCCAGTATCTTCTTCCAAGTATGGATTCCCCTCCAGTTTCTGCCGCCTTTCTAGTGCCTTCAGGTGATTGTTTCATGTAATTTTTTTTTTTTTATTCTTCCGAGAATTTATAGTTGTGGTTTGCAGAGGAGCTGTTTTGATAGGAGTTACTCCTTCTTTACTGGAAATTAGAATAGTTTTAAAATTAGCCTAGAGATTTTAGCCACATCAAGAACAGTAGGGAAGTTTCCACTGTACTCCCTAATTGTCCCAGGAATGCTTTTCCTGGGTCAAGCTTTGTATATAAAACTCTAATACAGATTACTCAAGATCAATGCATATAATCACCCAGCTCCAGGTGCTTTCAAAGCAAACCAGACTAAACTCTTGGACAAAGATCATTGCTCAGATCAGGAAGTCCAACTGACCATTTCAGAATCTCTGCTTCCATTCCCCACTTTAAATCCATATACAGTCTTAACGTGCAAACAACTTCTGGAACAAACAGTGAGACAAATCTTTCTCAACCTGAATTTTGCCTCTTTCTAATATTCCACTCTACTAAGAAGATTTAGAAGTTCTTTTTTTTCCTGTCCAGTCTTTTTTTCTTTTTCTTTTTAGTGTGAGAAAGTGGAACTTCTTACCAATGTTGTCAGGCTGGCATGCTTCATGCTTCAGGACCCAACATTCCCTTCAGAATGTCAAATGTAGTCTCTTTACTGTGTTTCCTTTATTGAAACTTCCTGGACACTGCTCTAATATTCCTCTAGTTTCCTTTGTCACCCAAAGGATGTCCTCATGATTTTGGAAGTCATGGTCAAAAAACTGGTGTTTGAGTTTTCTTTTCTGATCTTCTACCCATTTCCCCTTTTCTTACCAAAAATCATGTTTCATCACTGGTCTTTTATAACAAAGTTATGAGATTACATTATAACTACAGTGTTATGAGACTTAAAACTTTGTTTTAATTAGCAAGAACGTGCAAAAATCAATCCCACATTCTCATTGCCCTACTAGTTCTGCATTCTTTCGCAGTTCAGCAAAACTATCTGAAATAGTTTCTGGGACATGGGCCAACTCTTCAGCCTTAACTTGTTCATTATATTCTTTAAGAATACTTGGAAGCCTAATTAGTTGAACCAAAAGAAGAATGTGCTATGATATGAGCAAAACAAATAGAATGTCTTAATGAGAGATGCTTAATTTCACTTTGTGAAACTTTTCTCCCTCATAAAATTTTGTTCTATTTTTAGTTAATACATCAATTCCCAATGTCACAGAAGTAAAAGAGAACATGACATTTGGATCAACTTTAGTCACCAACCCAAACGGAGGATTTTTGGTAAGAACTGAAAGAATAATGATATTTATTGACAACAGATATGCTATCATTTTAATTCTTTGTAAAATCTGTTATATAATTTTCAGTCTAATGATTTCTAATTTTAAAATAATTTTTTAAAGGCATGTGGGCCCTTATATGCCTATAGATGTGGACATTTGCATTACACAACTGGAATCTGTTCTGACGTCAGTCCCACATTTCAAGTCGTGAATTCCATTGCCCCTGTAAGAGGTACAGATTTTACGCAATGTTATTGCACGTTTGAAAAGCCTAAGCAATGAATGACACATATGTATACAAAGGAGCATACCAAAAAGCTTAAAGTATTTTCTTAGCTACCAGCATTACCAATTTAGGTAAATGTTTGCTTTACCAGTGTATAACAAAATCTGACTGCTATTTTTGCAATTGATATTAGTGTAAATAACTTTACAAAGTCATTTTTAAACTTCATAGATGAAGCTCTTATGCTGCTTATATTTAAAGAGTGAGTCTCTTTGAGGAAAGAAGTAACTTAATTTGAGATATGCACAAAAACTGTTTTATAAAAACTGTTATATAAAATTCATATTGAGAAAATTTGCAAAGATAACTCTCATGCAACATTAATTAAAACTCAGTAGATATGAATTTTACTTGATACAGACCCCACACCAATTGTTATTGAAAGCAATTAATATTTTTATCATCTTTACTTTTTCTAAAACTATTTTTTATTGCTAACGCAGTGTATCTACTATGTAGAACATCAGTTCATCTTTTAAAATGAATTTCTTTCATCCATGAAAGCACTTCATATGCCTCTGAAAAAAGTAGATTCCAAATTTGCACAATTGACTCCTTTTATTGCAGAATGCAGCACTCAACTGGACATAGTCATAGTGCTAGATGGTTCCAACAGTATTTACCCATGGGACAGTGTTACAGCTTTTTTAAATGACCTTCTTGAAAGAATGGATATTGGTCCTAAACAGACACAGGTATGTGACTTTGTGTTTTGATTTCTGTTGTTCTAAAGATAAAAATGCAAAAATTTTTAACAAAACTAATTATTCTGAAAGCAAATTAATCAATACAACTAACGTTGAGAATGAATTTTATATCCATTTTCCTGTTCTTATTTCTGATAAAAAGGACATTACTTTAAGCTGTGTTATTTTCTATTTTTTTCTTTTAAGACAGAGTCTCACTCTGTTGTCCAGGCTTGAGTGCAGTGGTGCAGTCTCGGCTCACTGCAACCTTCACCTCCCACGCTCAAGCAATTCATATTCCTCAGCCTCTCAAGAAGCTGGAGTTAACAGGCATGTGCCACCACACCTGGCTAATTTTTATTTTTGTAATAGAGCTGGGGTTTCATCATGTTGGCCAGGCTGGTCTCAAACTCCTAGCCTCTGGTTGATCAACCTGTGTCTGCCTCTCAAAGTGTTGGTATTACAGGCGTGAGCCACTGTGCCCAACCTAGGCTGTGTTATTTTCTAAACAAAAAATATTATGAAAGCTGCCATTTGTAATGCACTTGGAAAATAACTCCTATAGATTTCTATAAACTCATAATTTAATTCTTACTTAAAATAGATATAGCTACTTTTGGTAATATCAGAGCAGGGTGTCAGAGTTTGTAGAAACCAATCTGACATCCTAAAAAACCCATCACATTATAATCTCTCTTCTCATATTATATAAATAAGTTAGTAACTGACCAGAGGATACTACTTAAAGTATGTTTTCCTCTCTATTAATAATTTATTTTCCCTAAGTTAAAAGCAAATGCCCCTGGCTATCTCTCCATAAAATCAAATAGTTGTTCGTTTATTCCCCCAATTAATATCTATTTCTAAACACATCTCCTTTATTGCCACTAAATGAAGTGGAATTTCTCACATAGCTTTTCCACTTTAGATACTGAGTTTAATTGCATTTAATTAAATACATTTGACTGAATTAATGTTTATTAAACTTATATGGGCATATATATTAAAATACAGAGCAGACATAATGGATAACAGGCAAATAAAATGTCAAAATTAAATCGATGCCTCGTGATTATCTTTTTTTTTTTTTTTTTTTTCCTGAGGGATTTACTTTGGAAGAAGTTTCTGAGGCACTGAAAAAGCGGTCTGAGTGCGTTAATGTTTGCCACACCTACATTAAATTTGGAACATAATACGTGCACATATATATACATACATGTGTCTTCATGTCTCTGTGTATATTTATGTCTCACTTTATATTTTAATATATATGTATGTATAATTTTCTAAAAGGATGGTGGTTGAAAATTTCAAAGTTGAACTCAGACCTCAAAGTGAAATGTATTACTGCATTCCAAGACTGAATAGGTCTCTGTAGAGAGCAAGTGGAAGGGTAAGGTTATATACATCCTACTGGACAATAGAAAACTTCTTGAAATCAGGGTAAAATCATTAAAAATGAAATGGGCTTTTACATACCACAAAATGTAATTTTCCGTGGAAGTGACTTATTTGCAATTGACCTTCTCAAGTGAAATTACTAGTGGATGGTAGGGGACCTTTTATCCCTTCTTGTACAGGGTTCAGGGCAGTCTGCATCTTAACAGACCCGCTCCAGGATGTGACTTGCTCTTCCTTCCGGCATGGACCTCCTTTTTTCCCTTCTGAGGACCACTCTCCCTTCCTCCTTTCCTCTCTTCCTGTATCCCATCTCTCCTTGGCCAATAAGATAGCATAGAGTCATAAAATTAAAGCTGGAAAGAATCTTAAAGGTCATTTGACCCCAAACCTCAATTTATGAAGGTGACACGGAGGCTAACTGACTTGTTTAAGGTCTTCCTGCTTGCTGATGGCAGATCAGAGCACACAGTTCTCTAATTGTAGTTGAATTTGTTGTTGTTGTCGTTGTTTTTCTTTCTGAGAGCTCTGCTTCTAGAGAAGCTTCAGAGCCCATACCATCTAATGCCCCTAAATAGTAGATTTCAATCCCTTTCCATCTCAAGAGGATGACTGTCCTCATCCTTCCTCAGGCAGCCTCTTGGCTGAAACAATGCTAAGCTTGGCAACGCTTCTCTCCCTGCACTAACATACCTGAAATGAAATGGCTTGTGTTCCCGCTTTCTCCACTTTTGCCCATGATGTGCTTTCTTTCCTTCTTCTTGTTTTGTCCATCCCATTTGATCTTCTTATCCAGTTTTTTCCTTCCAAAGCTAATAACATTCTTGAAATATATTTTAAAATGTATTATACAGCCATCTAAATATTTTATTTTACTTTTAAATTCACTTATATATATTACTCTAAAAATTAATTTATTAGTAGCTATTTGTGAAAATCAGTGCAGCTGTGACATGTTTGAAGTCGGTCCACAACTTTAGAAAGAAAATCCATATGGTTCTTTTAGACTAATAATCACAGCTTCTGTGAAGATCTATGCCAGTGACTCCATTTTGTAAAGAAATAAATAACAGTCAATTGCTTATATGCTCAACCTATTCTTCTGCAATTTTGATGTTTTTCAGTTAGAACTATAATTAATTTACATTCCTGTGTTGAGAGTCCTAAAAGAGGAGCTATTCTTGTCCACCAGAGGAATTCTAGCCTGTCAGGGTGGGCAACATGAAGTTATATGTCTTTCCTGGAGGGAACAATGGCTCTATTCAGACACATGCAGGAGCACCCTTGGGGTCCAGATGCTACCACTGCATGGGAGGAAAATGAACTTACCCTGAGGCAGAAGAGTTCAGTTGCATTTACTCAGATTCAGAACCTCATTCCACAGAGAAGAATATTTCTGAATGAAACACTCTGCACAGTGTCGTTTACAGTATCTTCTGACTTCTTCCAAGGAAACCTGCTTTTTAAAGAGAGAAGCTGATTATATTTCTGTTTTATTTTTTTATGTCACATCTTGCTTGCATCATTGATTGTGGAGCTTAACCATATACATTCATTCATTTATTCAGATGTATGTACTAAGGGCTTACTATGTTCCAAGTTCTATGCTATAGCTTGGATAATAGTGGGGAATAAGACAGACAAGGCTGCTGCCTTAATGGTGCTTCTGTCTAATGCAATGTTTCTCCAATTATGGCTCATGGAATTTCTGCTTCCAAATCACTGGGATGCTTGAACTATACCCCAAATTTTCAAAATCAGAATCTCTGAGGGTGGGGCTATAGAACCTGCATTATACATAAGCAACCCATATGATTCTTTTTGTTTGTTTGTTTGTTTGACACGGAGTTTCTCTTGCCACCCAGACTGGAGTGCAATGGTGCAATCTTGGCTCACTGCAGTCTCCACCTCCCGGGTTCAAGCGATTCTCTTGCCTCAACCTTCCGAGTAGCGGGGATTACAGGCATATGCCACCGTGCCCAGCTAATTTTTGTATTTTTAGTAGAGACAGGGTTTCGCCATGTTGGCCAAGCTGGTCTTGAACTCCTGACCTAATGATCAGCCTGCCTCAGCCTCCCAAAGTGCTGGGATTACAGGTTTGAGCCACTATGCCTGGCCCCATATGATTATTAAACAGATTAAAGTTTGAGAAACACTGGACTAAGCCATAATTATTATATTGGTGGGTGTGTGTGTGTGTCTGTCTGTCTATCTGTGTTTGCTGCATACTGTAGATAATAGGGACCTCAAGAGCAAAGGCTGCATCATCTTCCTATCTTCATCAGTGGCCAGCCCAGTGGTTTACTGTAGCATAGTAAGACCTCAACTAGCACTTGTTGAATAAATGTTTGTATCATAATGAGTCCAGTTTTGGATTTTTCTCTGATTATTGGACATTTAATAAGTCTTTTTTCTATAACTGGTATTTTTAAAATTATTTTAAGTATATTACTTTATACTTGATTCTCTAGTGTTCAGTCTTTTCTAATCTTCTTTTCTATTTTGGCTTATGTTATATCAGTGACTAATTTCATAAATAATTTTCTAAAATAAAGACATTGGAAAGGACATATTTACCAAGCCATTGCTTTTGCTAAACCACGTTTAATAGGGTTTTAAGTATAATGCATGTAAACTCTTTTTAAAGTTTGATCATCACTCAGTGGATTCAGAAAAGAAATCTAGTCATAGAAAATTTGGAAAGACATTTTCTCTTCAAAGAAAATGTGTGCTGAAAAGCATGCTTATCTTTTCATGTAGTCTTACAGTAATTCTTTCCAAAAACAGTTTGTTTGCTTGACAACCAATTCTTTTTCTTGATTTGTTGCTAATGTAATTTAAATCTGTTTGATTTTATTTGTTTGTTTTTAGTTTTATTTGTTTGTTTTAATGAAAGCATTCAGTTCCACCCTATGATTGGCAAAATTAGCTTCTAGAATTTATTCTCCCCTTTATGTATTCTCTCTATCTCCATTTCTGAAAGGAGCAGATATAAAAATGAATTGTGAGAAAGATTACTCAGAGGAAGGTGCAAAAGATAGAAAGCTAAGAGCCAGACAGAGAACTTTTAGACTCCTCATCCATACCAAATTTCTAAAAGACTATTAATGTAGTTGATAAGATTTGTAGAGAAGATTTCTCTGTAGAAAGAGCCTACTCAGAAAGACTTCAGTGGCGTCATACACATCTTGGTATGTGTATACTGGAGTTCGGACACGTAGTTGATTGACTAATGCCTAACTCCTGCCTGAATTGTCAGAGCATGACAGCAGCTGTTACGTCTAGCTGCTGACAGGGAAGTCAGAGCAGAGGTCACTGCACTGGAGTCAGTCTGCATCCCCAGAGATTGTTAGAATGCATGTGTTTTCCCAGGATTGGCATGGGTACTCAAAAGGAAGAGCCAGCGTGAGGTCATGTCAGGGCCTGTCCATAGGGATTACTGGAAGTGAGTGGCTGCCTCTGCAGAGAACGCACAAGATCTCTGTAATTCTTAGGGACTGAGGGGCAGGGGTGTAGGTGAGACATCTTAGTGAAGGGAGTTCTCCAAAGGACCCTTGAAAAAGTTGTACATACCTATTAGGACCTGATTTATCTTAGGATAATACCAACAC